GCAAAAACACTTGTTCCTTCCTATTATTGCTGATACTCTCTCTTCAACAAAATTAGAGATAAGGGCAAAATAGTTTCTGCTGGGTATTGAGGGGGTAGGGGGAGTGGGTGGTAAGGGAGGGAGTGGGGGCAGGGGAGAGAAATGACCCAAGCCTTGTATGCACATATGAATAATAAAACAATAAAAAAAAAACTGTTTGCACAAGGTCTGCAGGATCAGCAGCCTGGGGCTAACATTTAAAAGCAGTGTTCTACTAACACTTTTGGCAAAGGAAATAAAAAAGCATTTATATGACACCTTGTTTTGATGTTACCAGAATAACTGAGGTTTACATTTCAGATGACAAAAGTTCTACTTTTGGTCATTTTAAAGTTGAAATATCTAGGTGGGCATCTGAAATAAGTTCCATTCTTCCCTACCAACCTAATATAAAATAAGGTCTTTTCTTATTGACCTGGTGATAATTCTAGAGCTATTAAACTTTGGGAGGCTGTTTGCTTGTCCTTCAAATGTCCCTAAATGACTGATTTAGAAGCAGGACTAGAATATGAAGATTCAGCATGATACAGTGGTTAGCAACCTGGCTTTAGCTCACACTGTCAGCTTTTAATTCTGGCTCCAAACTACTAGCTGATAAACCACTTCCTCTCTGTGCACTCCCTAAAGTGGTCACAAAAGCTCAGAGCACTGTGAGCAGTAAATGAGCTAATGAAGTCAGAGTTTCTAGAAGAGTATCTGCTAAATGCTGAACATTCGTACCTTAGGTTTAATCACTATGATTGTTGTCTAGGCTCCCAGGTATCAATCTGAGAAAGATCGTGGTTAGGCAGCTGTGGCCCAACCCTATTTTGTATGACCTGTGAGCAAAGGCCAACATTTACCTTTCTAAAAGGTCTTTAAAAAAAAAAAGACTGCCTGGCAGAGCCCACATATGGCCCACACAGCCTGAAAGATTTACTGTCTGATCCTCTGTGGGAAACATCTGCCTACTCTATTCTAGATGATCCTAGAGGATGATGTGTTTGGCAGGCAGTGCTACCTGTCTTCAGTTACACTCTCTTAAATTTCAGTCCGATGCGAGTAGGCAGCCCTCCACATAGTGCTTCAGAGATGCAGGTGTCTTCCACCTGAGGGACTCTGAGAAGGGAAGAGAGCCTGGGGGAAGCACATTTTCTGTGTACTTAACGTACATCAATTCTTTTACGCTGGAGGGTGGACCTATTACTAACTGGGAGTGTCACTGTCCATAGCGACACTTCGCACTTTAGAAAAGAAAGTTTCCCATTGCATCATTGTTTAAGAGATGGGAATTAAACAGACAGAATGAATGCAGCTTCTGAATGGTTTAGCTAAAAAGCACTAAAGCCTGGACATTTAAAATAGCTTCTTCCAGGTTTATTTGATGGCAAAGCTCAGATGTAGAGCTCATCTGTCCCTTTCTTAATTTTGTGCTCTTTCTAGAATGTATGCCATCATACAAACCAAGTTCTCACTTGGCGTTTGAAAGTAGACTAGCATGTTAAATGATGAACTGTCTCCTACCAGTTTTAAACATGAGTGTGGTTTTCAAAGCCCGCACATATGCTTCCTCACATATTGCTTTACTCTTGATATCTACTATTTAAAACAGTAAAGTTTATACCTGATAATTACTTAGATTTTGGAATACCACAGACATCAGAAGTAAAATTGAAAGCTATGAGGAATCTTAAAAGTCACCTAGCCAATACCTGACTCCAGAGATGAAGATAAGTCACCTAAACTGATAGAGAAAAAGCCAGAGGTAGAATCAAGATTTCTGACTTTTGATTTAGAGCTTGATTGAGTGCAGTGACTCATGCCTATAATCCCGACTGCTCAGGAGGTATTGAACAGGTTGGAGACCAGCACGGGCAAAAAGTCAGCAAGACCCCATCTCAACAAACTTGCCAAGCATGGTGGTGTCTGCATCATCCCAGCTACGTGGTAGGCATAGGTAGGAGGCTCATGGTCTGGCCCCAGGCATTACAAGTGACCCTAACTGAAAATAACTAAAAAGCAAAAAGGTGCTAGAGCATGGTTCTAGTGGCAGAGTTCAAGGCTCTGAGTTCAAACCCAGTACCACCAAAACAAAGTTAAGTGCTTGTTCTCTGATATTATGACTACTTTTTCTGCAAAAACAGGTAAATCAGGGCAGGCTAGAAGATGTATCCGAAGTGTAGTCACTTACCGAAAGTGACCTTTTTTGTCCTCAGTTTTTTAAGTGTTCGTTTTCATTTCAAGTGATACACTTAATTCGGTGTCTTAGGAATATTATTTTGGCGTTTGCTGGTACCCTGCGGCATGGCCTCATCCCTAATCTCCTTGGTGAAGGAACCTACGCCAGGTATAACTGCCGTGACGCCGTGTGGTGGTGGCTGCAGTGCATTCAGGATTACTGTAAAATGGTTCCAAATGGGCTTGACATCCTCAAGTGCCCCGTCTCCAGGATGTATCCCACAGATGATTCTGCTCCTTTGCCTGCTGGCACACTGGTAAGCATCATTTGATTTTTCTTTTGACTTTTTTTTTTTTTTTTTTTTTTGGTGGTACTGGGGTTTGAACTTAGGGCCATGAATTTGCTACGCAGCAGCTCTACCACTTGAGCCACTTCACCAGCTTTAAGCATTTCTTAAATATTTTTTCCTTGAAATATGACTTTTATTTTCTACTCTAAAATATAATGAAGAATCCAAATTTTGGGGCTGAAGGAGTGACTCAAGTGCCTGCCTAGAAAGTGTGAGGCCCTGAATTCAAACCCTAGTACTGCCAAAAAAGAAAGACTCCAAATCTTAAGAATTATGTGGATGTCAATATTTATCAGCTGCTGGTTCTCAGAGGGATTGCAGAGATGGGACCTGTTCTTACCTAAAGAACACACACATTGTAGAAGAGATGACATGTGCATCATTGTGGCCATTGCAAAAATGCATAGAAAAAGTGCTATGTGTCAAAAAGGAGAGAGAACTGGTAGGCAGGTCTCAGGGAGGACTTCAGAAAGTAGATGAAATTTCACCTATACTGAGCCTTAAAAAGAGAGTAGGATTTCAGGAGAGATGGGGGAAGTTGTAATGTCCATGGTAGAGTGCTTACCTAGTGTGTGTAAGGTCCAGTCCACACACACATGCACACACACACACGTGTGTACGCACACTCACATACATGCTGCACATTGACTAGAGTGAAGTGCAGTTTAGGATGTACAAGCGAGTCTAGTGTGAGCAGGAACTTAGAGGCTGTGTAACGGGTGGGCCAGGAGAGGGCCTTGACACCCATCCAGGGAGTTCATTCTACTTCGGGACAGCAGTGAGGGCATGAGCATTTTGAGCATTTCTTTCCCCAGTCGGGACTGTACAGTGATTCTGTACTTAAGCCACTTCTGGTGTGCTTTTATCATTTGTCTGGTATATGACTTGGGTGAGGGAACTACTTCTGGGCTAGAGTGTGCTTGTTTTTCTATGATGTTTCTATCATGAAGTACTCAAAAAATGTTTATCCAAAAAATTTTTCATCTGTCTTTCTTGTCATCTAACACATTTAAGTTATATGACGATGGGCTCATATTATCAGGCAGTATGTATTTTATGCATAACTATAACTCATTATTTTCCCACAGTTGTCAAAAAGTCCTATAGCATTTTTAAAATGCTTCATAGTTTTTACAAATGCTAGTACGATTTTGATATGCTACAGTTTTAGTTTATTCAGAGGTTTTCAAATGAAATCTAATTAAGCATACAAGGACTCTGAACATTTTGCTTCTAACATTCTTCCCCTTATTTTTAAAGTGTAATAACATAGCTCCTTATATGTAATACTGAGCATCACATTTATTGTTTACATGGATCAAGAAAGCTCTTTATGTACCCTGCGTTCACCGGGGATATTCTCTAAAGTCACGACAGACCTCAGATTAGAGAGTACTGCTGTAGCAGTAATGTATCCCCGGTACCCATTGTGCAGATAAGTGAGAACAGCAGCACCAACTTAAAATTCAAGTGCTGAATGACATGCTGAGTACATTATTACTTTTTTACTCTAATAGAAACTGTACAAGCTCATTAGATTGTTTCATGTATCAACAAACTTGTAAATGATTTCATGTCACAAATCTTAGGTATTTTAAGCTAGCATTTTAAACTAGTAATGTTAAATCCCTGGATGCCAAACTTTGGTGTGTAGAAGCTGCTTTTTTCCCCTGTAGCCCCATTTCTCCCTCCAAAGGAAAATGAATATTTTCTCATTGCTTTAAGTGAGGGATTTGGGGAAGTTAAGAAGAATGTAATTTCTAACAGGTAACATCCATGGTGTCTCAAACAGGATCAGCCATTGTTTGAAGTAATACAGGAGGTCATGCAGAGACACATGCAGGGCATTCAGTTCCGAGAAAGGAATGCCGGGCCACAGATAGACCGAAACATGAAGGACGAAGGTACCAAGCGTTAACTGCATAGTGAAGATGTGCTCATGCGGGGAAAGCAAACCTTGCAATTTTCATTTATTTGGTCAATGTTTGTGAGCAAAACCTCAGGATACAACAATGAAGATTAGCAGAGTTTCTGACCCCACCTCATTTTTACTTTCTGGAGGAAAGAAAACTTCATAGCTTTTGTCAGCCACATTTAAAGGTCTATTACTGGTTGAAATTTATAATTGTGATATTGATAATGTGAAGTGCTGCAAAGTAAGTCCTTGCTGTGTGTTAGGCACTGTGCCAATCACTGTATCTATGTCACTCTCATTAACATTCCTGAGAACACTGGAATGAGCCGTTTACCTTGCTCCTGATTTTACTGAAAGAGAAGGCTAAAGAGTAGCCTGCTCCAAATTACATAGCCAGTAAGTGACCGAAGAAGGAATTCATCTGTGGTCTGTCTCTATAAAGTACTTTTGTGCCAGACGTGGAGGTGTATGCCTGTAATCCCAGCAATTGGGCACGTGAGGCAGAAGGATCACAAGCTCAAGGCCACTGTAAAAAACATAGCAAGTTCCAAGCCAGCTTGAGCTATGTGGCAAGACCTTGTCTCAAAAAAACAAGAAAAAGAAAACTTTTTTGTGAAAAGATTTTATTTGTATGTTGTTTAAATTGATGTACTCTTTTCTCTTCTTGTGAGTGTATCATATTCCTCATCTGCTAGCACACCATCATTGCCAGCTACCACAGGGCTAATAAGTCATTTCATTTCCCTCATTCCTCTTAGAGAGTCATCCGGATGACTTTGCTCTGTGTTTACTTTTCATTCTGTAAGACATGTGTTGTTTTATGTGCAGGTAGGGTTTTTGAAAAACCTTTGTAATTTAGAAAGAATTAGAAATTCATGGACTGGGGACTCAGCTCAAGAGCACCTGCCTACCAAATCCCTAAGTTCAAACTCTAGTACCACCAAAAAA